CTTACTCCCCGTTTGAGGTGAACAGATAAATCGATCGCGTGCTTTGACGAACCAGTAGATGCGATGTATAAAAAACTTGATACTGGTACATGCGAGAGCGAGTAGATACTATTACATTGTTTATGGGAACTCTGGCCAGACCTCAGAGAACCCGCCGAAGAAAATCCTCATTATCTTCTACCTCCGTGATCCTAGCTGCTTCGACAGCTGGTTCCAGTTCTGCCTCTTTTTCCTTTCCCTTCACGTCGTAGCTGGTGATGAAAGCACAGACTGCTTCGTATCTCGCCTTGCTGTCGTCGGAGATGTCTGAGACCACGTTTGAAGAAATTGCCCTTGTTGCTTGGCCCCGCTTTGGCATTTCGAATTTGCCTTTGTACTTGGGGTCTGGGCATTGCTGTTTAAAAATGAAGGGGTGTTTCCCACATCGTACACACAGCTTCTTCTCCAGCCAACCTTCTTGCTCCTTGGTGAGGGTGGATACTCGATCCACAAACATTGCGTTAGGATCCTTTGGGGCTCGTGGTGCCGATGATGATGCCGTTACCATTCCGTGCTGTCCTGCCTTGTCGGCTCTGAACTTGGACTCAAGTTGTAAGCAGAGGTCGAGGTATTCCGGCCATGTGATTGGGTCGAAAATGCCTAGGCTGTCTTGTGTGACCATTGCCTGTTGTACCTCCTTGCTTCGGTGTTCAGCGATGTAACCGATGAGTGCAGTATGCCCTAAGTTGGTCTTAGTGGCCCATTGCCAGAACTGTTATGTGAAGGAGACCATGGTAGGATAGGTCTTTGCGCAGACCTCCTTCAAATGTTGTTACGCATCCTTGTCTGGGTCGAGGGTCCTGTAGTTTACTTTGAGAATATTGATGAAGTCTTCCCATGTGCCGAGTGCCTGCCGTGTCGCTGCCTTGGTTGCGTATTCAGACATGTATGTGAATGCGCCTCCTTCCAAATGCAGCAGGGCTGTGGTAATCTTGTGCTCATCGTCACCGAGTTGTTGGAGCCAATCCTCCAGACTTCCTTTGCCCGAGTAGTGTGGAGATTCAGCAATTTTGATGCGGGGCTTGTTTGTTTGGACTGTGCTGAATGTTTGACCTTGCATCGTAGTGACGCCGCTTGCTTTGAGTGAAGCTAGCTCATGTCGCAGCTTAACATTAGCTGCCTTGATTTCCATCATCTCTTTGCCTGTGTCGAGCATTGCTGCCTGGGTTCCTGTGAGTTCGTCATTTAAAACTGCCATATGCGCATCTTGCACGAGGATCCTATCCTTGAGCTTCCCGATCTCCATCTGAAGAACTGCTTCCTTAAGCCGGTATTCGCTCTTGTTATTTTGGATCAATGATTCAAAGGCCATTTTATGTTCGTACATCTTGTTTCCGAGCACATTGTAGACCTTGGCGATTTCAGTAGTGACCGTGAGCTTCATTGCAACGATTACCCATTCGCGTATGTGGTCCGGGACTTCCCCAGGAGCGGACTGTCTGAGAGCATCTTCTAGGTGCTCAAATTGTTGTCCATCAAACTCCCAGGTGGGTGAGATGTAGGCTGGTACAAGTGATGGTGTCGGGGATGCTGGTCCTCTGACTTGTGATGCAGTTTCCTGCGATCCTAGCGCAGGTTCAGGTGAATTGCGCTGCGAGGCGCGTGGGGTACTGCCGTCGTGTGCTGACTCGACGTTTGTGTGAAGAATGTCATCCATTCGTTGCCTGAACGTGGATGCATATGCACGATCGGCTCCTTCCATTGTGATATAGATAAACTAATACAAAAAGTTTAGGTATCGCTTTCCTGCGATGAAAACCAGAGCCTTGGCAATCTCCTGTAGTCTCTCCTCTTTTCCTATCTGCTTGAAACTGATTCCTCCTATCTCCAAACAGACCGTATTGATCACCTGCTTCTCGATGAACATGTAGGTGCACGTTCCAGTGTGTAGGTCAGCGCAGACCTTGTCGAGTTCCGTGGCGAGGCTGTAGATGGGTCCTTGATGCTGGTCCTTGAGACGATACGAGAATGCTTCTAAGATGGGTTGGAGCCTGAAGTGAGTAGCGTCTACTTGCTTCTTAAGGGTCTTGATATGAATTGTCAGCCTCACTCTAGATGGGAGTGGGTGGATGGGACGGGCAACCGTGTTTGTTTTGATAAAGTTCAGCAGTGGCTGGACTGGGATGGGCGCAATGACGGGGGGAGGAACTGCGTTGGATGTTATGAGCTCTGCTGGTGGTGCCGGCTTGTGACTACCAGTGGTAAGACATCCCTTTCTGGGCTTGTAGCATTTGAGTGGTGGTGTGCAATCTCATGGCTTGTGGATAATTCCACGCTTTATGATGTGTGTGGTATCTACGACCCTCGCTGCTGCTCGCTGCCTATCTGTGGATGATGCGCCTAGTGACGTGAGAGTGAGGAGCCTTCCATGCTCCTTGTTGGTTTCCTGACACTTGTAGTGAGCATCAAGGTCGATCCTGGGGGTAGCCTTGCGCTTTGATGCCTTGGGCAGCTCAGAGTCTTGCTGAGGCTCACGCCGGGTAGAGATCGGATTGGAAGTTGTGTCAAAAAAGCCGCGCGCTACGGCTGAAACTGCTTGCACTGAAAATACACGGCCACTTGTGTTAGACACTAAGCAGGGGTGCAGAAAATGTCAGATTGTTTCTAATGTCACGGTAACACCGGACAAGAGATCAAAAAGACTAAAAGGAACAGTCACGTGGAACGTGCTGCCCTGATCCCCCTGATTTCAAGGAATCCCCCTGAACCCTATGTGATATAAGAGCCTGTTGACTTACTAGTCGATGTGGCTGATGCAGGAAAGGGTTAGAGATATATGTAGGAGCTGGTGAGCTCAGTGAGTGCTACAGGTGGTAGACGAGGAGAAACAATCTGAAGTTTCGTCCTCTACATGGCTGGTCTTATATACACGTACAGCGGGCTATCTTACCTAAGCTACCTATCTACGGGTATAAGCAAATGGCCATACATGAAACAATGGGATGTCCGGATGTAGAACAATAAGTGGGAAGATAGATGGTTGCTGTAGTAACGTGTGCGAACATTGTGCCTATCTTGGTTTCCCTTTTGTTCTCCGGTGTGAACATCTGGCCTATCTGGGCTTCTGGCTAAACTAATAGGAAGCGGAAGGCCGATGCATAACAATAGTCCTTGTTCCCTTTGTTCCCAAATGGGTGCCTCTATTGTATCCTGGAATAGACAGGTCCGACCATATCATCCGCAGGTCTGGACCATAACATGTGATGTAGACTATCACCTGATCTCTACGTGTCACGTCTGTGGCTGAGTGGCATGAGATATTTGGTGAAGCACGTGATCTGTGGCATGAGAAAAGTCATATGTGGACTTTGTGGTGAAAATCTGTGACAATACTCTAGCTTGTAGATACACCATTGGAGCTCCTTCCAACTACCTAACTACATCACCCTTTTATACTACGCCCTCGGGGCGCATTCGTCCAAGACTCAATCACACATTGGACCTCGCTTGGTCCTATAACTCATTCCCTCACCTCGCTCATCTCGTTCTGAATCTCTTGAAGGGCCTGCCACTGCGGACCACACCATCGTGTCTCATTCTGAATCCCTTGCCTTCTATTCACCTGTGTCACACTCCGCTCACTGCATTCCTCGAGGGCCCATGCCAGTGGCTGTCCCATACCACAGAAGCTCCCTTGTCCCCGATCTGAAGGTGCCCTGTCCATTCTTCAGACACCCCGCCCATGCTGCCCCAATGGTTTCACCTGTTTCTTGGCCCATGCTCATATGCTGGGGTTTTCTGGCATCGTCTCAGATGTGGTCTCCCATCAGTACCTCACCCAGTCCACAGCTGCAGTCCTTGGACACGTCCACATCTCCACCTGCCTGCCCCTTCTCGTGCCCCTCCCAGCCATTGCCACTCTCCACCCTATTCTCATCTTGCCATGTCTCGCACACCAGATGGCATCCCTGGTGAACAGCGATCCGTCTACACCCTGCACATACATCGATACCTTCTGCTGCTTGAGGCTCTGTCTGTGGAATGCTTACATGTTCCATCCGGTTTGCATCTCGCTGCGGTTGAGTGGAATGAATGGTGCTGCCGAGTCCGATCCCTCCTGGTACATGTCCTATGTCTTCCTTTTTCTCCTCCATTTGGATTGACCCATAGCCTCAGAAGCTCGCTGACACCGCCTGCACTGAGCTCACCTGAACCAGAATGCAGGTGCCACTGACTGACTCCTTTGAGTGGGTCTGTGATCTCCGTGCCCTCACTGCCTTCCCTTTGTCGCATGATCACGATTCGAGGTTGGCCACAATGGTTGAGGATCTTTTCTTGGACCCTCGATTGCAGCAATGCTTGCTTGACGTGTTCGGGTGAAGATCGTTGCGCCCTGATGTTCCCTTGTCTGAAGATTCTGCCTCCCTTTCACTCTGACATGGCCAGCCTTCAGCAGTGTCATACACCTCCATGCCTGTAGAAGCTGGTGATGATCCGGACTGTATGCTGCACCCAGAGGACTTTTCTGGAGGCAACAGTCAGTTCTGAGGTCGTGTCCTGAGGTTCGGAGGGCCCCATCCATGTAGACAATCCATAGCACAGACTCGATGTACCTGTCTTGCCCTGAATGCAATGTGCCTGTTCTGCTCTGAGCTTGCTGTCAAATGTTAGGGAGCACAATTATAGTGAGGACAATTATAGTGAGGGCAGCCAATGCTGGCCACCTCACATCCCCTCCAGACTCAAATATCGACCATCCCCGGTCGACGTCACCACTTCTTAGATGGCATGCAAGACACCCACATGATCGAGGATGCCCAGGTCACAGGCTCAGAGCCCGAGGCAGGGTGCGCCCGAGGCTATCACAGAATGTGGATGGCCTGGCCCATGCAGCCACCAGCCAGACTGCCCACGAGCCGACATGCGCGTCACATCTCGTAACGCAAAATTGCCTCTGCAATAGTTCCCACCAGCGGTTGGAAGTCCGTGGCATGTCCGTGGGCCAATTCGAGTAGTTCAACATGGGCGCACTCTACAACTTTCACTCCTCTATCCCTCTCTATCACCTCATGTTCCATTCCTCCCCACCACATGCAATGTCATCTGCTGCCACCACCCAGGCCTTCACCATCCCAGTGCTGGACCACATGATCATCGTGCCCATCGTGGATCAGTACATCATCCAGACAGTGCGGGAGCTTGTCGCGTCCATCTGCCTTGAGCATGGCACGTTCCCAGAGTGGAGGATGCCACTCACACCGCTTGTGATGGCAGAGTTCTGGACAATATCTGACCAACTCGCTCCACTGATCATGAGTCCTCAGTTGTCGCCGAGCAGATGATGATACTAAACCGTGACCGGACAGTGGCACGTGCACACACTGGAGCGAGTCACCAAGGTGTGTCAAACAGTGTTGCCCTGAACATGGCAGCATACAGAGGTGATATACTGGCTCACCATCGGTCACCTCCAGGGCCTCAGACAGGACCCGGACAACCTTACCGAGGCTCTGAGATGAATCAACAGCATGCAACCGCTGTCCCCAGTCAATGAGCACACCTTCCTCCAGGGCCTGAAACTCATGACTTGCACCCCATGTGACGTGATTCAGTATTGGGTGGAGAAAACCATCGAGGCCCCCCTGTTCCACCTGGTGTGGCAGAATTTTACCACCTGGTACCCATCCTTGGAGCCTGTACCCCTAGCTGCACCTTCAAGCCATGCCCCTGCCATGAGGATGCCCACCCCTGGTTCCTCAAGGTGCCCAGCCACACCAGTACACAAGGAGTGTCCGCTAAGGTGACCACAGCCATCCACCCCCCAGCCAGGACATCAGCCGCAGCAGCTGAAGGACCATTCACATGCACTGGCCCCACACCCCGAAACCCCCATCGTAAGTACCCCACCTCTCATCCTTCATCATCCCCGCCCATGGGCTAACTTGTGAGATCAGCATGTGCCAGTGGAGGAAGTGATGCTCCGCATCGAGGAGCCCCCACGGGAGATGCAGAGTATCTCCATGTTTGACGAGGCCTTCCAGTACACCGAGCTTGAGGACTACAGCACTGAGGATGACACTGAGCTGAAGTTGTGCAGCCCTTCGCCCGTGCCACCAGCATTCGTATCTTTGCTCATCCTGTCGCTGCATCACATTCCCGGTGTCCCTTCCACAGCCGTGCAACTGACTGCTGCTCGACGGTCCAAGTCAAAAATCATTGCAGAGTACCAGTCAGCACACACCGCCACCACACAGGTGTCAGGATTGGTCAGCATCGGTCACTGTGCAATGTTTGCATCACCAGCACAGGCAGAGGGGCCCAGCACCACCATCCCACATCTTCGCCTTCGTCCAGCCATCCAAGCCACGTCCACACAACTCAGGGGCACTGCAGCTCAGATTGCTGCCAAGAAGCTCCACCTGACTGCTCACCTGCCTCCCCCTCCATTCATCCTTGTTTCAGGCCTGGACGGCCCACTGCACAAACACATTGACATCTACCCGCTCATGTGCACACTCGCCACCACATATGCTGAAGTGTGGTGCGTGAACGACCCATGTCCAGCCTGTCACCATGACAACATTCCCTGCTGATGGGACACATGCGGCCATGCATGCCAGCGCTGTGCCAAAGTGCATGTGAAATGTCCCTTGGCCTTCAAAAATGACATGCCCGACTCACCCCATAAGTAACCCCGTATCACTGCCTCACTCGTGACATTCCTAACCCACTCACCACACAGCCACCTCGACCTTCATTGAAATTGCCAGTGCCACCCCGAGCCTTGCCATCCTGATGGGCTGGCCATTGTACAGCCCCGACCCAGCCACACGCGATGCCCTACCTGAACTCTTGGACCCTGCCAATCACCAGCTGAATGAATACATCAAGGAGCCAGCACCTGCTCACAAATGAGGCTGGAGCACCAAGAGTGGCTCACCCCCGAAAAAACACCCACAGACCTGTGCCCCATCACCACTGCCCACACTAACCACCGTGTGTGCCAGCTCATCTGAGCACTCATCTTTGATCGAGGAAGCAGAACCATCCAGGGTGTTGACCACCACGCTGAAACCTGGACTGTCTGCATCCTCCCTCAAGCTCACGAAGGAGGATCGTGGTGAGATGCATCGTGAACACACCTGCATGCCATCTGTCTACAATGATGCCCCTCTCTCCACCCCACCATCCAATGCTCCTGGGCCACTGAGCGAACACCCACTGTCCCCAATCACCGAGTCCTCCAGCAGCAGGGAAGCCTCTCAGACTCAAGGCACTGTTTCCCTGTCTGAGCGCAAGGGCACTTGGCAAGCGTAGGGCTGTGATCTCATCAGATGAGAAAAGGCAGGTTGAGGAGGTACTGGGCACTGCCAATGAGTAGGCGAGGGGGGGCCACAGAATAGGCGTGCCCCTGTGCTCGTGGACCAGGTACGCGGGGTTCTGTATGTACTGTCTCTTTTGTCCTGGTCAGCCTGTCTCTGTCCCCCATTTCTTCATGTATGCCTCGCTCTTTCATGTACCATAGCCATTTAAATAGATGCACCCCCCCTTAAAACACTGCATGCCACCTGCACGCCCTGACCTGCCCCGAGTGGGAAACCCACCTGGACTGGCTGCAACAGCGCAGCAGTCACGTGCTCCACACGCTCCAGCTAAAAGCTCAACCAAAATTCCTCGCAGATAGTTCGCTCACCCATTGCTCAGTGAAAAGCCATCATGGAAGACCTCCCTTCAGTGTTCTTGTGTGCCCACCCTCACCTTGCCATGTTGGTTGACCAGTTCACTGCTTCGATCGTGGTCTGACTCTCAGATAGCCGGGATGAATTTTTGTTGCATCTCTGCATGTTAGAAGCTCAGTGGGTATGCACCAACATGTCACACTCCCAGTGGTACCATCGCTAAACCCAACCGATAGCTGGATCTGCAGGACTATATTGCCATCGAGACATCCATGGGGAGCTCAATGCCTTCTGTGCTCGGTTGGTCGATGCTCTGACAACCCCTCGCCCGCTTTCACATGTGGAGAGTCCATTGTGAAGAGTACAGCTGTCTGCACACTGATCCTCAGTTTGAGAGCCGCTTCCTCAGTCCTGGGCCCATCCCGGTGAGGATTACGCTCCCCGAAGCCAATCCTGCCCCAGCGACACTGGCCGGTGAGGCTGCATCTGCCCTATCTCTCTTGTTCCCATTCCTGGTCACCCTTGCTGCTTCCAATACCCCCGTCCATACTCTCCCGGAGCTCATCCACCAGATATTCACCATGGAGGACATCTTGGTTGCAACATTCAACAGCTTGGAGGCCAGGTACAAACACGTTTTCGATCATGCCTGTACAGCTATTAAAGAGAGCTTAACTCAGGATATTGAGTCATCAGTCCATGATGCTGTGGAGGAGGAGGCCATTGACCTGAAGGCCGAACTCCATAGCTCCATTCGTCATGACCGCATCGCCCTTCTCACCCTTATACATGATGGATGGTGTCTCTTCCAAACACTGAATTTGGCTTTGCCCTCACCGGCCTTTCCCGTGTTTTCGCCGAATCCCTCGACCAACATGAGCACCTCCAAGATGAGCTCTCTACCCTCATGAGCAGCCCTCAATTCCTGCTCCTCATCACATCCGCATTGAACATGGCCTGAAACTTTGACTACAGCCCCCTTGCCCAGACCCTTCAGGAGGCCATTTAATCCTCATCGGACAGGGCCTCGTCAACTCCAGAGGATGGCTCCATTTCCCACTCCCATTCGATTGCATCCAGATCTTCCTGTACCTCCTCCAGTTCCTGATGTAGCATGTCCTATAGCGATACCTGTGCATCCATCCACGATTTGTACAGAATGACCCTACAAGCCGCATAGCGGTGCTTCGAAATAGAACCATCCAACTCAGCCAGAATGTATAAACCTCCCGTATTGTGTCGGATCATGACCATCAGCCTGACATAGTGCGGCTTCGACTTCCAGTTATGATCAGTTTCGAATTGCGAGTTCCGTACCAGCACCAGGTCTCCCGTGTTGAACTTAAACTCGCAGATCGTGTTCTTGAATGGTTTCTCGAACTGCTTGATCAACTTGAACCACGTGGCCCGAACCCGTCTCCGGACCTCTTGCAGGTCCTCATGCCTCTTGAGTAGCTGTCATGCCCATACTGCCAGGAGCTGTTTCATTGACATCAGCTCATCCGTGGCTGGAGAGAGGTACATAGCTTCTGCGAGGTTAAACGGAAATACTGGCTCCACCCCGTGGACCATGAAATACGGAGACTGCCTGGTACTCTTCTGAATCAAGACCCTTTCCACCCAGAAGACGGCATGTATAACCTTCAGCCAGTCCATCACATTTCCCTTGCCACAAACCTTCATGGCCACTTCCCGGACATTGAAGTGCCGCCATTCCATGATACCATTTGCTTGAGAATTGTACGCCGAGATCTGAATGTGCATGATCCCATACTGTTCGCAGAGGTGCTCCAGTGCTGCAATGAACAGTGCCCCATTGTCCGTGACTATCTCTGTGACTGCTCCCCACTGACAAAGCACTTCCTCCAATAAGAACACTCCAAGAGTCTTTCCAGTCTCTCACCGCAACATCCTCCACTCGGGTCAGGACAAGAGCATGCACCAGGCCTGCACAATGTGCATGTACCCGCCCGCTTTTGGCATATGCATTGAATCCACATGTAGCTTCTGGAACAGTCCCAGCACATGCACCATCAAAGGGGGTACATGGTACTTGTACACTTTCTGAAGCTGGCATTCATGACAAGTTTGGATGTACCATTTGACATCCTGGTCAAGGTACGGCCACCAGAACTGCTTCAGCAACCTCACCCAGATGATAAAGATGCCCTTGTGACCTAGCTCATCGTGAGCTGTCCAGAGCAATGCATAACAGTGAACCTCATCCAGAACCCGCTTGTGTCATCCCTGGGCATCTCTCCACCATAGCCAGCCTTCCAGTATGAAGAAACGTGCCACCTCATGGACAAATCTGTCGAACTCCTTCTCATTCAGTCCATCCAATTTCCGCAGCTCTTCAAGGAAGCACTGGATTTTCTACACCTGCTCATCTGCCTGCTGAGCTGAAGGCATATGGGGAATCTCTATATTTGCAACTGCCTCAGATGAGAACACTGACACGGTGCCCATCATATCTTCCCCGTGTGCACTGTACCAGCCCTGAAGTCTCATCTCCGGGCTGAGGTTGGCCCATTCCACCGTAAATGTGCATGCTTCATCGATCCACTCTTCGAAGTCATCTGGTTCCAGCTCATCTTCAACCACCTCGGGTCACCGCAAGAGTCCATCCGCCGCTCCGTGTCGTGCCGCCGGAACATGCACCAGGTTGAAGTCCAAAAGGAGAATCCCAGCTATCCAGTGGTTGATGGTCGCATTGGGTTGAATGTCCAGATTGTTGAGCATTCCTTTAACATATTTTGCATCTACCTCCATGTCAAATGTCTTGAGCCTGATGAGATATATCTGGTATGCCCGCAGCACCCTAAATAGTCCAAAAAGTTCTATCTTTGCCTGAGAGTACTGTGATTCCTGCTCATTCCAAGTAATCGATCTGAAGCGGCTCAGACGCCATCATTTTTGCGTGTCCAGCTGAAACAAAATGAACCCTACCGCTATTACCGACGAATCGACTGCAAGGATGACCTTC